TATACAGGGTGATTCTTAAATAGACCGACAAAAGTTTATCCTTGGTAGTATCAAATGAGAACATGCTGGAAAAAATATTTAAAAAATTCTTTGTTTAAACGTTCTTCAAATAAAATTTATTAAAGTTCCTTTCGAAGTAAACCGTACGCCACTGATGTGTTAGCACAGGTAGTGGTAACCATGGTATTAACGTACTTGATTATTGCAACAATTCATAAACGCCGTAAGTGGTACGGATCACGGGGGTTTTGCCCCTAAAAGGTATAAACATAAAAAGGGTAAAGTTTGTCTCCATTTATCCTTAGGAAGATGTAATAAAATTTTGTCGGTTTATTTAAGAATCACCCTGTATAAAAAAAAGATTTTTTTGATTTTGTACAAATTCGTTCTAATTTAAATTTTCATGAACGAAATAAGAAATTACTATTTTTATCACGAACTGAGTGATATGAAAACAGACGAATAAAACTATTATTATTTTTCGACTCTTTTTTTGCCCCCCCTGATCATAATTTCTGCGGGCGCCCATGGTTGCTGTCCAAATTATTTCAGAAGTAACTCTCCTGTGACAAACCCTGTATAATTTTATTAAACAGCGCGGAGATCCTTTAAAACATAAAACATATTCTTATTAACAATTAAAAGTTGCATAATAATAAATAATTTCATTCTTTGACACTGTCAAAATTTACGGTTTTTCTCCCGTGTAAGAAAGTTTTGACAACTGTTTGGCATTACTCAATACAAAACGTCAGATTATTTTTAACAGATTTAAAGCATGTGTAAGCCTTGTTGAAGAATGAAATGTTGCATTTAATTAGTTTTCGTAAAGATCGGTTCATTTATTCCACTTCGTAGATGATAAACCATTTGTTAACACTCGTGGTTTAATAATCCTCTCGTGAAATAAAGCGTCAAACTCGTCGAATAAATAACCAAAAATTTTGTTTAGTTTTTTGTATCATAATTTTTTTCCATAAAAATCTTACTGTGAAAACGCTCTTTATTCATATTTTTATTGATTACTAACATTATTTTGCAGTTTACAGTATTTTTAAAAATGTTATTATTTTACCAAATTTATTTCTATAGGTCATTTATATTCTTTGACGTTGTGATAGAAATAGCCTAACGAAAAATTGACTTTCTAGGCAATATCATTTACACGAAGGGCAAAACAAGGTTCGTATTTCACAAGATGATGACTGGCATAATTAATTATTTAAGTATTCGTATTGTGATAGATTATATAAATATAAGAAACAAAAATTACATAACATTAACAATAACAGCAAGAAACACGTTAAAACTACCTAAAGATCGAAATATTAAAGATCGAATAATGCAAGCAAGTTTCGGCCAGTGAAGAAAAGAAAAGAGAAATTTAAACTTTGGAGTCTTCCAAGTATGTAGTTTATGCATGATTAACTTTAGAATTTATATGAATGTGGGATAAGGAAGTATAAAGCATCAGTTTTATCTATCATTAAAACAAAGCAATAGGTACTTTTAACAATGTCAATATATTAGAGCTGTGCAATAACATACAATACAATTAAAGATTTAACTGTTTTAAATCAAGTATATTAAACTTTTTTACCTTGATAATAATAATGATTGTTATAAATTTTGCTACAAGTTATGACTAAACTAATAATATCATTGGCGATTCTGGTCTCTAAAAATTGGCAGGGCTCATAATTTTACCTTTAGAAATCCCTCAGCAAATCAAAAAATGATTTTCCTTTGCAATTTTGACATAATATTCTTTTTCCTCTTGTAAACTTAATACAGGGACATACTGTATGTACAGGGCGATTCAGATAAGATAATGAGCCTGACGATCTGGCGATGCAACCCAAAAAACAAATTTCATTTACGCCTTAGATCCAATTTAAATTAGGATTTGCAAGTTGAATCCAAGTTATCATCTTATGTCAATCTGACATCAGTGCAGAGAACGATCATTAGTGCCATTCAGTTCTCATGAAATGATAGAGAAATTACAGAAGTCTTTTCGGTGTAAACCCAATACAAAATGTATGAACGAATTAAACATTAAAGGTAGGCAAACAGTTTTTTTTTTATAAATCATAAATTGCTTGTCAAAGCACTGTAAGAGCATCATGAGATAACTTGGATTGGAAATGCAAATCGTAATTAAAATTAGATCAAGACGTAAATGAAATTTGTTTTTTGGGTTGCATCGCCAGTTCGTCTGGCTCATTATCTTATCTGAATCACCCTGTATAAGTACAAACTGGTTCTAACAGGTGGGTTTTTGACAAAATTTTTGGAAAAATGGTAGAAGTGTTTTCAATTCGTTTGAACATGACACGTTCACATACAGAGTGCGCCAGAACTCGCGCCCCAGAGAAAATTTTCAAGTAAGGTAAGATACCAGGAACATGAAAAAAATGTTTAAAAAATTCTATCTGTCAAAAAAATTTAACATTTATTTTTTGACATTTGACATTTTGTTATATCTATTTGAGGATACTGATGATTTTGTATATGTTTTTTTACAATTATTTAGTAAAGGGACAAAAATTTTGCCCTAAAAGCCACAAATGACATTGAACAGAGTTACAATTTAGGATAGAGCTTCCTTGTTTTCTCTTTTAAAAGCCTATAGCAAAAAAACTTGGAAAATTATTTTTCCAACAGAAATAAATAGAGTCAAAATGCAAACCTTAAACACTAATAACTTCGAAATTTTTATAGATGAAATTTTTTTAACATTTTTTCTGGTTCTGGTTATTCCTGGTATCTTACCTTACCTCTGGGGCGGAAGTTCTGGCGCACCCTGTATAAACTTTTGCTATAGCAATTCCTAACACCTTGTATAGGGCATTTTTCTTTGAATTATTTTTTACATACCTGTATATAGGTATCTATTATCGTAGTAAAATAATAAAATGTTCATTATATTTATAATGTATTCTGTATTTACAGAATGTCTCACGAGTAATAATGAGCATGAATTTTTTTTTGAAGCAACCAACACTTTATTTCAAAAGATAACGTAATATTAAAGTATTTCGTTTTAATTTACTAATTAGTTAAACCATCGCCGTCTCCATAGAAATAATCCTTTTCTCTCCTGGGCATTTTTTGAGTTCAACTGATTCCCGTTGGCGCTTTAATCTGGGGAAATTTTTTGACATATCCAGTTTTTTAGCTTAAAGGGTTCAACCTCATAATATCAATTCTCCCTGGCGTATCTTGTTTTGTTGTATCCTTCCTTCCCAGCATTTATTAATTGCCTTATTTTTTGTTAATAATTAAAAATCATTCAGTTTTT